GTGTTCTCCCTGCTGTCGCTCCTGCAGTGCATTTTGGGATCTTCGGTTTCGGTACTCAAAAAACTGTCGGGCCAAACATTGCGAGGCCTTCAGCAAAACCAACAAAACCCAACCAACTTCTGCTGTATATTGTCTGTGTGAACGCTCGCTGGGAACCTTCGCATGCCGCCCGGCGCAGAAAACCTCAAGGTCACCTCTATATTGTTCTGTTCCTAATGTTTGTATGTATGTGTGTGGGGGTCTGTATGCGTGTATTTAAAGGCCATCATCCAATGTGGAAAAAAGAAAAGAAAAAACATGAGTTCAACCACGACAAATATGGTGGGCAGAAGAGGCGACCTCTCATCTCCAGTCCTTCTATGCAATGAATCATATTTGGTAAAAACACGAGGAAGAAAAGCGAAGTGAAAATACACACCAATGGGAAAAGTCATGGTTTATCACACTTGAGTTATTCTAATAATATCCATTTGGTTTGGCATTCCTCATAAATCTAAATAAGGAGGTTCTGTGAATGTGTGTATAATATATCTCACCGGTAGGTTAGGAAATTATAAGAAGGGTCTTTTTTTTACTCGTGGTAATCCTCTCGTCCCTAACTGGGGTCTCTTTCTGAAGATGTGTTCATGCTAGCTGGGAAATGGCAATGATAGCCAAGAAAGGAGTGTTGCTGTTAAGATGATTTGACGTTTAGCAGTTCTTTATTTGCAATACAAATACAATTCAAAAAATTCAAACAATAAATAGGTTTTCAATGAGAATTTGAAATAAAACTGCTTAATAATAGACCTAAAGTTAATAATAAAAAGTCCACATAAGATGCTTAACAATAAAAAAGAGTTTGTTTGCTGTTCTAAACACCAATATTAAAGAAGAAAGAAAAAAATATAATAAGAATATATTTTGAATGGGCATTTACCATAAGCACTGAAAAATCCCAGGTTTCATGAACGTTGCAAACGAGGCCAATTTGCTTTTTTTGGCGCAGGGTACACAGAAAAGTTGTCCAGAGATTTATAAATACAAAAGGAAAAACTTATATAAATATAGAATATAAATATATAAATAAAGATCTCAATACATTCCCTAATATAGGTTGTAACTGCTCAGGGGTGAAGAAGAAGAAGAAATGCTCCTCTTTTTCTTATTTGATTTATTTAGCAGGACCCACAATTCCATGTTATTGTCATCATGTGTGCACTCGTTGTTTGCAGAGAAATAACTATTTAAAGAATATTTAAGATACTCAAAAGCCGTACAAATACAAATATATACACATGATAGATAAGATGACACTATATTATATTAGACACAAAATACTGAACTTTTCAAGGCATTCCTGAATTGAATGAACTGATGTGAGAGTGTTGGTGTTTGAAGATGAACTGAACGACACACTTAGGATTTATAAGCTAAATACACTGGAACGGAAATGACTGAAAAGATAACAGATTTAAGAAGAGGTGGTTTATGAAGTATAAAACATTGTTTATCTCCCAACTCCTACACTTCCTTTTAAGTCACTGTGTAACAGAAACCAGTATATATATTTTTTGTGAGACATTTATGAGAGGATTTATCTATGTCAGAATGTATTTTATCATACTGAGAGGGGGTAGAAAGCTGATGAAAGACAGGAGCGATGAAAAAGAGAGGTTTATAATATTAATAATAATAATACATGGTATTTATATTGCGCTTTTCCTGGTGCTCAAAGATGCTTGGGTCGTTAAGACGTTTAGGTATTGAAATATATAGACACAACCATTTTATTTTATAACAATATATGAGATTAGAGGCTATTGAAAAATGCTAGAATGCTAGGTCATCATTCAGATACAAAGCTGCCGTACTCTGCAACAAGATCAGTGACTTCACCCTGGAAGCTTTAAAGGAGTATCAAACTAGAGCAAATCATGAGAGAGAAAGTTTCAAGTTATCCCGATTATTACCAACCTTCTCTATTTTATGTCGTATGTTTTTGGAGGTTTGTAAAAAGTTAAATAAAATGTTCTTCAATCACTTTTGCCTCAGGAAAGCACTAACAAAATGCAGCATCCTAACTGAGATATAGAGAAATATAGCGTTGTTTATGCAGGTGCAATAAATTGGACAATTTACGACACAAATAGACCTTCTTAAGGCTGGGGTCTGTGTCAAATGTGTGAAAAATGTCACTTTTGTTGCTCCTGTGTGAAGAAAGCCACCGAAGGTGACGTCAATAATATGCATAGCAGCAAGGGCTTTATACTACAAACCTGGTTACTGAAGAAAGCCATCCTGTTACTGCCCTCTAGTCGTGGTCTCTGTCTATACTCTGCATGGGGTCTGTTTATATCCTGGAGCGCAAGATCAGACCACAGCAAAGCAAAAATCACTGAGCCACAGCCGGCTTTTTCAGAAGTGTTGGAAGCACAACTGTAGTCCATAATAGAAGATCAAACCAGAATTGAAATGAGATCTGGTCAGGAATAGCTTCTTTAAGGAACATAGTTCAAACTGATTCCATGGGTCATTTGGATCAGATCTATGTTTAAAAATGTAAATCTAAGAAGTCTTTACTCATTTTCTAATCCGACATCAAGACTCTCAGCCATAAGGACAAACCCTTGTGGTGCTGACCGAGTATCAGAGTGGAGTGTTGTTCTGACTGAGAAATTACTTTTAGCACCACAAAGAGTTAAAACAGTCCACGGTATTCAAATGCAGCTTTGAGTGCTTTTGGGAAACCGGACTGTGTGTTCTCAACCAAAAAGGTAGCAAACAGTGCGTGTACAGTATGTAGTGTAGGAATGGAGAAAGATTTAAAAACACATCAAAATATATATATATCAATATATAAAAGGGTAAATGTTTCATAGGGGAGAGGTTGTGATAAAGACAGAAATAAACAGTCCATCATTCACAGAGCAGTTATTCATGTTCCACCTGTAATGAAGCATCAAAGTAAAGTGCATGAACTGGACACCCCCCCCCATCCCTCAACCTTTTTAACCCCCTGACCTTTGACCTTCACCTCACGGGCTGCCATCTTTTTCGAGTGTAAATACCAGATGAGAACTAAATGTAAATGCCATGAAGGATGTGTTCTGTGCGACACACTAACATACTACAACACACACACACACACACACACACACACACACACACACACACACACACACACACACACACACACACACACACACACACACACACACACACAGGCAGGAGAGAAGCCTTTGCACACCACACAGCGAAACACAAGCTGGAGCGTATGCAAGCCTCCCTGCCCAAACTGTGTGTGCATAAAAACCACACACACTACATGAAACCCAAGAGTTGTAGATTTGGAGGATAAATGACGAGAATCGCATTGTGTACGTTAGTGGCTGGCTCGTGCGGACTCATTAAACAAGTTGTATTCGGAAATGAAAAAAAAATGAAAAAATATATTGGTCTGTGTAGAGTTTCTATACATGTTGTGTTTGTAAAATGAGATGACATCGAAAACATAAAAAAAAGGGGGGGTAAATATCTGGCTTCCATGTAATTTTTCAGGGTGGACAGATACTTTTTTTGGGGTGGAGATGAAGAGGGTTAGATGGTGAAAAAATAACCCAACAAAATGAATGAAAAAAAAGAGGGTGAAAATAAACTAGAGAAAAAAGGTTGAGAGCCTACAAATGATTACAAAGTGTTCCATTCACTGTTGTAAGTGCAATGAGCTAACTTCCTGTTCCCCATTGTAAAACCTTGTGTATGTTTCCGTGTATTCCTCCTGTAAATGGGTGTAGTAGACCTGGTGCATCATGCCATGTAATGTGATGAATGACAAATTATGACCTTACAATACATTTCAATCAGGAAAATAAATAAAAGGCAAATACATAAAAAGAAAACCCTGCTGTGTACCCTCTTTATTTTATTTTTTTAAAGTGCACCCTGATTTTAAAGGGGCCCTCTTTTGCTTTTTGGGGTTTCCATTTCCTGTAGTGTGTTATATGTTTCTGTGCATGTAAATGGTCTGCAAAGGCTAAAATCCCAGAGCTCCTCCCCCTCCCTGCCTGAGATGCATCCATTGGTCTCCTTTGTTTACTTCTGTAACAGTGACATCACTAAGTAACACTTGCACTCCTATTGGCTACACATTGTACGAGATAGGCCGAGGGGCGGAACATTTCTCAGTGGTTGACAAATCACAACAGAGCCGGCCAGCTAACCAATCAGAGCAGACTGGGCTCTGGTTTCAGACAGAGGGTGAAAAGAGGTGCTGCAGCACAGGCAGTATGAGAAAAATAAAGAGCTTTTTGAACATTAAAGCGTGGAGACATGTCACAGGAGAGACAGAAAATACAAGTATGAAAACTGGAATTTAGCATAATAGGGCCCCTTTAAGATGAATTCTAAATATCATACAATCATTGATTATTAGATTGCAGAAGGTGTTGATGACTCACATCTGTGTTTGTGAAATCATCCATGTTCACTGTTTTTAATATTGCAGTACCTTACAGGAGAAAAATGTATTGGGATTATTGTTTTATACAGAAACTCTTGGCAGAATGACGGCTCAATTCCATTTAGTTTCAGGGTCTGTGCATATTTATTTTCAGGCAATTGTCACAGCAGCCATTTAGCTGTTTTGTCTTGTCATGGCAGGGTAAACACATTAATAACACTTCTTATGGCCCTGTTCCATTCCGTTGGGCCAGAGCCCTGTTGTTGTGAAATCTAGCTCACTGTGACACGAAATAGAACTGGACCGTACTGAATCTATGAATCCCTCCTGTTGTTTTACCCTGTGATGACACGTCAACATGGCTGTTTGTAACAACTGTGATTTCTCTACTCTGACTTGTAAGCATTCTGCTATGAACTCTAGTGGTTAATTGTATTATTGTTGAGTCATCCCGAGTCAATTATGAAAACCAGTGTATACTCAGTGTGGTCTGAGTTTTTCCAACATGTTCCTTAGCGTTAATCTTAATCCAAAAAAGAAAAAGAGAAGTGGCCATGAATTGAAATTAGGATTTTATTAGTAGACATTTCCCCCCCTTTCATTATTCTATCAAGCTGTCCACAGACTGGATATGACCCACACCTCCAAAGTAAAACATCTGGTACAACGTTCTCAACAAAAACAGTTTAAATACTATAAAAATAAATCAATTGCACAAAATGATATATGCCATTTGTGATTACCTCTGTGCAGCACTTGTACACACATAACATTGACAACAACCCCGTGATACAGTGCAGGAGGAGAAACTACACAGAAGGCATTCATGTAGAAAGAACCGACACAAAGCGACATGGAGCGCGTTTAATGACACAGCAATAATGTGAGGGGTAGACGCTGAATCAGCACTTTCCAACAATGGTTTGTTCCTGTTCGGGTTCATTTAGCATTCGACCAGTTCTACTAATGTAGTGTTTGTGGGATTCATTTTTAATGAGAGTAGCTAAGCGTGAAGCCGGTGATTGATTTTACATTATTAAAAAATAATTTGAATTATGTTTTAGGAGAAAGAAAAAAAACGACATAATTATTTCCTAGAACCGCAAACATCATAAATAATAAACATAAAATACAATCACACGAAAACAAGGGAATGAAAAAGGGAGTTGCTAAGCATGACATATAAATCAAATAAAAAAATTAAACACAAATGAAAAGATAAATTGGTCCAAGATGTGTATGTAATTACTTCCAAATATTCGGAGTATATTGAGATAAAGTGAGGGTGTGTGTGTGTGTGTGTGTGTGTGTGTGTGTGTGTGTGTGTGTTACGAGGAATGTAAAGCTACAGTACAATAACAGATGACACAGATTCATGTTGAGGTGCAACACTTGCATAGAGTTGGTGAAATAGCACTGATGGAAATGTGATATTTAAAATAGCAGGGAACAAAACGCATCAAATGGTGATTTAAAATGAACATTACTAAAGGTCACAATAGATTTATTACACTACTGCCATCGTTGTTTAAAGGAGTGCAAACTAGGGTGCAACGTTCCCTTTTTCAACAAAAGCTAGTACTGGTAGTCACAATCTCACAAACAGGAAGTGTGTAGAGTGTGTGTTGCAGATAGCAGGAAGTAGAAGGTTCATTATACATTCATTTAATTTATATATAAATCACATATGAATTTGAGCGCGCCTCACAACCTCAGACTGTATCTGCCCGAGCAAACCGACACATAAAGGATTATGACTGTGCAGAGCATGACTCATCAAGTTTCTGTACAAACACTCAGCTTTTTGTGTCTCTTTCCCTTATAATGTGCTTACGTTCATTAGAGTACTTTTTGCTTCAATTTGAAAAGGTTTGGGAGCGTACGACTTGCCGATGATATCTAACAAGTTCCTTTTTTGCTACAATCAAATTGTACACACAGCAAAGACGGAAAATTAAACAACAGATCTGCCCCTTTTGTGTGGGAGCAACACACACAATTATACATATTTTGTTCCTTTTAGTGACATTTGTCCAGCTCTTACATCCAATTCAACTGCACAGCAGATTATTACACTGACATGAGTAACGCTTCCTTTTTTAATCATGCTAAAGTGAGTGCCAATAATAATGTCAATCTTGAGGTTTCATAACTGCCATCGTTCACACACCAAGTGCCCTCTCCTGTAGTTAATATGGCTTTTACGTGTCTGTACATATTTATACGATAATTTATGCATTTACTTATATTTTCTCCACACAGGTGACGGTTGTGTCAAATCTGGGAGTTGTATACACAGTTATAAATGACAAACTCATGGGGAAATTGTGCCTAAAGAGAACTTGCTGTTTCCTAATTTCTTTCGGTAATGTTAATCGTACTTTACAATTACACTGCAAGAGAAAGCTACTTGTACAGACAAACAGAAGCCAAGTGCAGACGGGGGTTTAAAGGTCAGGCGTTCATTCATGTGTTGCTGTGCAGGAGAACGTCACATGGTGTGTGTGGTTCCTCTCCTGGCCCCCCCCCCCCCACTCTGGCATCACAATCCCCCTCTGCTGTCGAGGAAGCATCTGCTCTCTAGTAGTCTGTCTGGATTCATTCAGCACATAAACCTTTAGCAGAAGGTTAATGTGAGGTGGAGAGTGTTTCAGGGATATTACACACAGACAGTAATGAGCTCCTTTCACCAACATTTATAATCGTCTTCCTTACAAGGGTACAATGTCATCTATATTTATTTTCAAAGCATGTAAAGAAAAAGAAAGAGGCCTCATGATTCACACATCCCTGCTTTGACTGTAAATCCATCACTGTGATTATTATGTTTTACTTCATGATTTAACGCCATAACAACACGTGTGACAGTCAGGTGCTTTCTCAGAGTGTGTGAAGTAAAAGTGTTAAACATTCAGATGAACCGTTGATTTCACCAGCTCTCTGCCGCTGCCATCCCTCAGGAAGAAAATGTGCTGGTTGCTATGTGACAAAATCACCAAAAATGAGAATAAGCAGAGATTTAAAAAAAAAAAAAAAGAGCTGAAGACTCAGAGGGCATGAAGCAGGCGTGATGAGTTTCAATCTCCTCTGTCTCTCTCAGTTTAAAGATGATGGAGGCAGTGAGATGAAGATGGGAACGTGGATTTCTTTTTTTGTACATTTCTCTCCATTTCACGACATTGCAGGTTATACAGGAGGAAGAGGAGGATGATGAAGGCTGGAGGACTATCAGTAGATGTCGGGCAGGTCTTGGTAGTTTCTATTGAAGTATCCCCCGGTGTAGAGCCAGGCCGGGGCGTTGGTGTACGGGTTGGTGCCCATCTGGAACCACCTGGGACACACACACAAGGACACCTTTTGAAATGATTCAGGATACATTTCTTCTCCTAAACACACACTTCAAGTTGGACCGTCACACTTCTAATCTACCTCTGACACATGCTAAACTAGTTATAAATGTGTTTATTCTTTACTGTGGGGTCATTACTTGATCAGTGAGCTGCATGAGACAGAAGCAGACGGTCTGTCAGGAGAGGGAGAGAAAAAGAGAGCGCTCCGTTTATTATTCCTGTGTTATTATCCAAAGTTACTGCACACTTTAGAATAATGTAGTTCATACACTATGAGGAGTTTGTTTACATGTAATAATGATGTTGTTTTCTGTTTATACAAGCGCATGAATCTGAACTTTTTGATCAGTTATAATTACTACCTGAAGCAATTTAACAATTAACCCCATTAACTGAGTTTGAAATCGTTTGTCATTTACATATTTAATGTCTCGAGTGCTGATGCTGTTTCTGGGGGTAATGGAATGTTGCTGGTTCTGGTGTTAAGCAATCCATTCTGTGTCACCGGGTACAGTTGCAGTGAAATGTAGCTGCAGTTACTTACATGTATTATTTATTGTTAAAATCTTTTCATTTTCATGTTTATTTAATGCAACTTTGTGTGCAGATCTAGACTAAAAAGAGATGTATGAAGTGCCTAAACTGATATATGTTGTTCAGCTTTTCCTAATACTTAGCAAATCTGAATTTCACTGTGTGTGCATGTTGGACGATACAAAGAGGATTACAAATCTTCCACTTCCAAATGTGAAATTCCGAATGCTCAACTTAAACGAATAAATAAATGTAGAAATGTTGTTAGCATAGAGAGGATTATTATCTTGTCCATCACTACTTTTTTTAATAAAACTATGAACTAATCTTACTTTTCATCACATTATGTTAATTCAGTTTGAAAAACGATTGTGTTTTTGAAGCTGTTGACAGATGATGGTCATGTTGGCGTCTTGTTGGCACGGTGGCCAGTTTGATCTAATGTAGAACAACAGAGCTCACAACAACACAGTTCTGCTCTGTTTGTAGTATCTGTGTGTACAAGTGCACTCTGCTGAGAGTGTGTTTCCCACCTGGTGTTCCACTCCTCCTCGTCCTTGGCTCTCTCCTTCCTGGACGCTCTCTGTTTCTCCTCCAGACGCTCCTTCTCCCTACTGGCCTCCTCTGCAAGTAACACACAAACAAAACATCTGTAATTATACAGTTTAGCTCAGTATAATACACTCGTAACTCCAAGGCAGTAGTGTTGAACTCTCTAAGGCTGCAGCCACACGAGGACGATAACGGTCGTATCTGCTACAGTTCTCTATCAGATAGACGGTTCGGCCACACGAGGCCGACATGGAAACGTGGAAAACGATAACGATAACGGGTCCCAAGGTGGGTGGATCTGCGGACGAAACGCTCTGGGGGGCCAAACGGCTCCGTGTTTACGCACAAGACCACGGATACTGACAGGCTGTCAGGAGAGGGGGAGGAAAAGAGAGGCTCCGTCCTCCGTGTATTATTATTATATTATTATATAGACTCGTTATTCATTTGTTTTAAAGCTCAATAAATAACAAAGAAGACCTTTGACCGGCACTTTTCTAATTTTGTCCGGAAGATTTAAACTTGAACGAACATGTTGACTGGCGAAACCCCACCTCTGCTGCTAAATCCAGCGCGGAGAATAAACAGAAGGGCAACCATGGCAACCATGCATGCGGGAGAAGTCTTCTTCGCTGCTTTTGGTGTATTTTTTGGCAGAAGTACAGCGCCACTGCATATTACATTACATTACATGTCACTTGTTAGACGCTTTTATCCAAAGCGACTTACATACTCAATACTGTGGACAATCCCCACAGGAGCAATTTGGGGTGAAGTGTCTTGCCCAGGGACACAACGACATGCTGACTGCAGTGGGGTTTGAACCTGTGACCCCCTGATCCGAACACCTACGCACAACCCACTGCGCCACACACCGCCATATGTAGCATATGTACTACAGCGTCTCCAGCGGTTCGAGCTGTCTCGTGTGGACGGACACGTTTCCGGTGCCTATTGCGTGTGGACGGAAGACTTTTTTGATAACGATTTCGGTGCGTTTCCGTTATCGTCCTCATGTGGCTGCAGGCTTAGATCAACAAAAAGAGATGGTAGTGACACAGACAGCCAGCAGGGGGCAGCATTGTCTCATTAGTGTCTATTCCTTTTTTTCTGAAGTTCCAGAGAGACTAATCTGTCTCGTCAGTCGGCTGTGATCAAACAGACTCTACAAGACAATTTAAAAAGGGATGTTTAATATGGAATTACCCATCAAGCCGTTCTCCATGGCTCTGATGTCGGGCCTGAAGCGGCAGTCTGTGGGGGCCACCGTGCCCTCCATGCCGGGCTCCATCTCATTGAGAGACATCGCAAAGTTGGTGAAGTTGTACATCTGGGGAGGGAAGTGGAAGAAAGATTGAGAGGGAGTTAAGGATATTAAATGTTTGAAATGCCTAATTTCCATTGCATATTTAGACTTAAAGTACCAGGCCTTTTTCTAAAAATGTTTTCCTTAATGGAGGTAGTGTTCTCGCCTGAATCTGCCCTGACATCATTGTGAACGAACACTCGCTGAATATGACGGGTTGGTGCAGGATGTCCCGTGTCAGGCTAGTTACGATTCTCTCTGACCAATCAGTGAACAGTAGTCTTTTAATTCCTGCCTAACTGGTTGCAATAATATTGACTGATTCTGCAATTGCGATATGATTTGCAATATATCAGAGAGAATTATCATTTTTGAAACATTATTTCACATGATCTTTCATTCTCGTTTTAATATGAGGAACTCAACCGAAACATTGCCCTTACTGCATTCTGGATATTGCACCAGTCATTATGGGATTCCTTAAATGTTGATTATGCTTTACCACCTTTCTGTATTGGCTCAGGTCTATTGTAACCTCTATGGAGGTGTTACGGGAAAATAAGTGGGTACTATCAACAACTCTAGCTAAATGAAAAGCAAAAAAAGCAAGTGGAGTTGAGGAGAGCCGTGTCGTAACATGCAGCGGAAATGTGGCATCAATGAAACATTACAGTCCCTGCAATCAACACTTTGGGTAAAAAAGCTAATCGTTTTCTGGGTTTTATATTATGTGAAGGTCCATCAGACTTTTTGTATCGGGCTCTTCTGAGTGTTTTCTGGTACCTGAGTAGAGAGAGCCGGTCTGGAGTCTATCCTCCACAGCAGAGTGCTTCCTGGTACCACACAGACCGTCTCCTGGGCGTCGGGCATGTCGTCTGCGTCATCGTTCTCGTCCTGGTCCTCCTGGGAAACACACTTGTTATTTAAACTGCAGAGAGTGAAGCATCTTAGTTTATACTTTATAAACAGGATTGGGTGTCTTGTTTCAGTAGAGGTCTTTCTAAAACCCACCAGGAAAACGACATACATGTTACAGCTATGTTATTCACTACAAACAAGCAAACAGACTACAGTCTGCTGCTCTACCTGGATATGACCACACAGAATGCTGTGGACACCAACAGGAAATCAAGACCAAAATACAAAGTCACAAGATAAGTATAGAAAACAAGCAATTCAATTATATTTTAAACAATAGGTCAAATAAAGGCAATACGATACTGTCTACTGTTTTATTGTTATGCAAATATAAAATACTCATAGACACATAAATACTGATACAACCCACTATTTAAGAATTGATTTTATGTGATTTCATTTAGGTTTTAGTTACTCTCCGTGTTTATAATGTGTTGAGTCGCTGGTTTTAGTTCCTTTCATTCTGTGTGTATTAAATGTGATCAGTTCTTTTTGTTAATCTGCTATATCATAACAGTTTTAGATTTGAAGAATCTGATTCCTAACTTCTACTCACACTTTTGTGCTTCTTGTTGTCCCCTCTCTTCTCCGACTTCTTGTGGGCCTCGTACGCCTGAGGGTCCACGCTCCACATGCACTCGGTCCACTTCCCGTAGATCACACAGTGCTTCTTTTTACTGACGGAGAGAACAGAGAAATGGAGGGAAGAATGAGAAAGAGAAACATATGCAAATGATATGTGAGTGGAAATGAAGGACAACACAAAGGAAGATAGAGAGAAGAGAGGAAGAAGCAGAGAAGGATAATGGAGAACCAGTTCAGGATAACATTTGACTGAAGTGTATTTTAAGAGTGCATTCTAACCTCTTATCCTGGATGTATCCCTCCACTTTGTGCAGCTCTTTGCCAAACATCCCGCAGGGTTTGAAATTCAACACGCATTTGTCTCCAGTGCTGCAGAATGAAGGAGAGCCGGTTAACGTCCATAGCTTTATTTAGTCCATAATAATGATGAAAGAAAAGACTTATGCTATAACAGTGAAGATTGAGGCTAAAATGTCCTAAACCGACGTTCCTGATCTACTAATTGCAATTAAGAGCATCATTAGTGTAAATGAATTCCTCCTTAGTGTTGTTTAGACAAAGAACAGCCTGAAACTAGACAGGCCTTTTTTGTTTCCTGCACTAAGTTTCGATCAAGCGCTCCCTGTTCTTCATGCAAGGCTCTTTTATCCAATCAGTGCTTCAGTACAGCTAAGCGCCAGCAGAATCTCAGCAGCTGTGTGATTATGACTCAGATTGCATGGACATAAGGATAATAAAAAAGCCTTGCAGGGCTTAAATAAATAAAGGTTTACAAAGTGCTTGACGTATTGTTTGCACGAGAAGACACACAGAGAGTACACAAGCTGCTCAAGTGAAACGCTGAGTCAGAGTAGATGAAGGCGCCGGGCAGGATTGCTGAACAAAGATAGAGGAGAGTGTGCTTGAGGCTCAACTATGTTGTGCAATACAATCATTAATATATCTTAAGTTTGTCTATAAACAGACCTTATTCAGGCATCCAAGCAGAACATTTGTGTTCTTTAAAAAACTCAAATTCTCAGTAGAATATCACGCTCAAAGAAAGATCATTGAGGTTCAGCTTTTGTAATGTGAATTAGCCCTCTTCCTTTTATAAATATATTGTTATAAATGTGATATAATTGGTTAACAAAACAAGCAATATTCAGCCATCATCTTTGGCTTTAGGAAACTTTAAAGGTCAGTCGTTCAACTTTTTTTTCCCACCATTTTACAAACTAAAATATTGATTGGGGGGGGCGAGTGTGTGGGTGAGATACTCCCTCTGGAGGGAACTTTGGGATTTTACCCTTTGCAGACCATTTACATGCACCAAAATGTATAAAACAAACTATATGAAATTGAAAACCCCAAAAAGCATAATAGGGCCCCTTTAATATTTGTCTTGACAAATTATAAAAACACTGTTTGGGTCCCCATAGGTTACCAATACAGTTAAATGAACAACAAACTGCACTCGTGCCTACAGTACAAAGGACCTGCTGTAAAGAGTAAACAATCACAGACTACATCTCCCATGTGCAGTTCACCTGTGGTTGACTATCTCCACGGTGCCATACTGCTCTATCCACAGCTTCCCCAGGATGATGTTGTGAACACAGCAGTAGGGGTTACTCCATGTGTACGCCTCGTTGTGCCTGCAGGAGAGGAGAAGAAGAGATGAGGAACTGATTCTGGATCAGAAAACTGTGACGTGAACAAACTGTCACCAGACTTACTTGAGCAGCTCTAGTGTGATGGTCCCTTTCGGCTCGGCCTCGACGCTCTTGCCCCAGAACTTGAGTTTGGGGTAGATAGATCCGTGGAAGACAAAGTCCCCCACCAGACTCTCTGCATGGAAGGCGCTGACCGGGGGATGGTGGGATACCTGCTCCGACACCAGCCGGAAGCCCTGGTCCTCTCTGTGGAGGGCAGGGAGGAAATTAAACGTTAAACTGGGCGACAACACAACCACTCAAGTTTGATTCTAGCCCTTGGGCCTTAGTTGCACTGATCTCTTTATCTCCCCCATTTCTGCCAAATTAAGGCTAAAATGGCCCAAAAGAATCTTAAGGAGAACTACAACTATTTTCGAAATTCAGGTGTGTGTGTGTGTGTGTGTGTGTACCTGGTGAGCTCATAGGTCTCTCCCAGCAGAGGGTTGAAAGGTTTTCCAGTTCTGTCCCACTGAGACGCAACCGCTGACACAGCAAAAGCAGCTACCGCCTAAAGACAAACAAAGTACACATCATGTCAGTGAGTGTGTGTTAGTTTCTTTTCCCTGTGCCTAGCATGTTCTCATATGAATCCTTCTGTTTAGAGCCAGGCTCAGTCAGTCAATAAGTGTTTGTGTGTGTCGAGCTTTCCATACTGGTTGCTTTATTGATCCAATACACTGGGGATGAGCGGATAAGTGCACACCACCATGGAGAATTAAATTACCTTGATCTGTTTTTTTTTATTTACAATATGTAGCTCATGTATAGCTTTAATTACAGCACCAGGGCAGTTCTTACATTCAGTGATTATAAACCCATCATGTTGAGGTCAAAATGGCAACTGAAATCAACTAATTGAGGTTTACCTGGAACTTTCCTAACAAAACACAAGGGCTGTAAAGTGTACCGTGTAGCTAAACCGTGTTTTTTGCAAATGGAAGTGCAAATAATTGGAATACAATGTTTTCAAGAGTGGAATACATGTGCATATAGATCCAGTGAAAAAAATTGCTAAATTAAACAAGAAAATGCAAAAAATGTACAGAATATGTATTTATTTGATGTCCTTCCTGTACATGTGTGTGTGTCTGACCTGCATGCGCTCTATGGAGTCGGGCAATGCGCAGGCTCTGTTGATGAGGTAAGTGTGTTCCATGTACTCTGTGATTCTCTGCAGGAAGCTCAGAGGCTCGTTGAAGGCGATGGGCATCGTGATCTTGGAGAGTTCCTGGGAAAAACCACACAGTGACCCTTACTAAGAGAACAAGTTTGTAATCATCCGAGTTGATTTCAATCTCTCCAATCTCCTGATCACATGGCATCTAACAAATACTGTTTGAAGTGGAGACAATTAATATTACACAATCAGTTTTTGACATGGCAGTGACGCAGTTTCAAACACTGCTCTGACTCTGGTTACAAGGGCCCTAAAATAATGAGCAGCTACTGAAAATCTGTTTCCCTTGAGATCAATTGATCTATTTTTCAAGGGAGACCTGCTCAAGTAGGTTCCACATGAAACATAAAAACATAAAACAACAGAACAACAAAAAGGACATCATACAGCATCATTACAGGGATTACAATTTACATAACTATCCACATGAACAGTTACCAACAGCATCCGATTGAGTAGCATCCAACCGAGCTTTAAAAACATTTAGTGGCACCAGATTGCTCAGTTTCCATTTTAATTGCAGACTATTCCAAGACAGTGGAGCTGCGCATCTAAATGCTATCTTCCCTAAGACAGTCCTAGCAGTTGGCACATTTAATAAAACCACAGCATGCGATCTCAGGCAGTAGCCACTTACAATTCGCTGTGAGATCAGGGAGCAGATGTAGGATGGAAGTTTCCCTAACATGGCTTTGTATATAAAAATGTACCAGTGACTGAGCCTCCGTACAGTTAGCGAAGGCAAACCAGCCCTTGCATACAGGGTAGAGTGATGGGTTAATACTTTACAGTTTGTCACAAATCTCAGTGCACTGTGATACGCAGCATCTAACTTGATCAGGTAATTGGCAGGTGCATTCATATAAATCAAATCACCATAGTCCAGCACAGGTCAAAAGGTCACAGTGACTAGCCTTTTCCTGGCCTCGAGCGAGAAACAGGACTTGTTCCTGTAGAAGAAACCTAGCCTAACCCTCAGTTTTTTAAACAGGTTATTGACATGACGTTGAGACAATCATCAAGCCAGATACCAAGGTATGTGTAACAGGCCACCACTTCAAGTTGTATTCCTTTTTCAAGTCTGTGTGGGTGCATACTCAGAATATTAGCATTTGATTTGTGTCTGGGAGTCTGCGGCTCCTTACCAGTCCGATGCATTTCTTCAGGATGCTCCACACACTGATAGTGTTTCTGGAGAACATGGGCGCCGGTAATGACGTCCTGAAAAACAGAAAAAGAAAAAAAACACAGGGATCATTTTAAATGAGTGATTTGTTGTATTTGTTATCGTTACACACATTTCAGCCACAGGAGGCAATCTACACATCTACCCAATGTTCCTAATATGACTAAAAGCATTCATGTTTTTTCATGCTGTTTTTTTAGTTTTCTCATTTGACAGCAGCATAACAAAATATTGCGACATGGACAGAAGAAATGTGTTTCGACCCTGCCCTACACATTGAGCTGGTTTCAGGCGGAGGTAACCCACATACAAACAAACCCAGCAGGTGGAATGCAGGCAGGAATGCAGCAGTACCTGTGTTTCTTGATGCCATTCTCTTGTGGCACAGACCCGTTGTTCTTCTGGCTGCTGCTGTCAAAAACCAGCGCATCTTTGAAGCTGGCCTCCGATACGCCTTCATACGACTCGTCTGAATCCAGGCCTGTGGGAGAGAGAGTGTTACTCAAGGTCACAGCAGCTGCTCTGCGCAGAATACCTGCTCTTTCAACTACTGCAATAAAAGGCAACACAGAAATGCATATTCAGAGAGAAATAAAGCTCTCTAAAGGTTTGCTTGCAACATTGGTCAAAGTCACGGATGGTGCAAAACATTTGCAAACTGTTTTGCATCAGGGACATTGAGCCTGTGTGTGACAGGCAAATGTGATTGATTGCCTGGTACCTGTTTACACAGACTAACCTCTTCACTTACATTACAGTGGTGTCACTTCAGAAACCCTAATGCTATGGTTTATTTTAATTCATGGTCATGATTCTAAAATTCCACAATATAATACATGTCAATGTAATTCAGAAATCCCGTGTAAACTGTCATGACGCAGCCATATGAAACAAAATAGTATTTCAGGGATTTTCTAGAAAAAGAAAGTATGAGGGCAATACTGTGGCACTGAGTTTGTATATAAGATATTTAAATTCTCGCGAAACAAGACACCCGTATACAAGAAGGCGCTGCGGACTTAAACAACAATGCAATGTCGGAGCTCAGTAATAACAAAGCTGTCAATGCCGTCTGACACAAGTTTCATATTTTCAAGCGTTTTTGAAGAACACAAATATTGTTTCTGGCATCACTTTAACATTTTACGAGGGAAAAGCAGCATTTTGTTACGCACACGCCAAAAATAAATCTGTATAACTTGGCCTCACACCAATAGTATACCTGCTGTGAGGGTATTGGGTTTACCAGTAAATGTCCATGGGAATACATGCAGGTGTCGACCTACACCTGGGTGTCAGCCAGAAGATAAATGACTTTTAAATGAATATTAAGTGCTGCAGGGTGGAGTAGAGGTGAACTCAAGGTGGGGCCTTAGCAACCACTTAAAATAGAATAAGTTGTGTATTATCAATTATTAAACACGCCTACTCAGCTGTCCGTATTACGTCAAACGTACCAGGTGTGTACTCTTACCGAGGTACGGTATTTTAGATTGAAATGTAACACAAAGGGCTTTAACACAGAGTATTAATGAGCAGCCTTTCACTACATGCAGGTGTGTCATTCATATTTGGTGCAAAATGTGTAAGCTAGTATTCAAAACATTAGATCTTACATCATAGTAGCTGAATAAGGGATCTGCAATTGTTGGAGTACATGTTTGCCAACTGAAGGTAATATATAACACAAGATTCATTGTAATTGTAGCACACTACTTTTTTTTTTTAACTTAGTACTTTTTAATGCATGTTACATAATGTAACATGTGTAACATTAAGCTGTCTGTGGCTCTTTTTCTGCTGTAACAACGTACATTTCCCCTCTGTGGGACTAATAAAGGGATTCTGATTCTGACTAAAGAACAATATGTTGTGATGCACAAACCAGATCAGTACAAATCCTCCAGCCACAAGCTGAAAAAGCAGATGTTGCAATATCACCATGTGCTGCAAATCTTCATTGATTTAGAACATACAGAGAAATGTAACCCGATCCTTCCAGTCCCATGAAGTGACCTAGATCATATCTGCTTAGTATTGGTTGGATAATTCTTAAAGAGCTGATAGAAGTTAAGGATCAATATAGTCTAAAATTCATCAAGACTAGCATTTATATTGAAATGTAATACTAGTTAACATCTATTTACCAAAAGTAGAGGTGCAATGAGGGAGCAAAAAACTAGACAATAAAGCCATGCTGGAATCCACCTGTTCCTGACTTCATCTGACCCTGTGTACACATTAATAATACATCTGTCTCAGATTAGTAATATGGTCAAAGACAGGAGGCAGGCAGATACAAACACACACTTATGGGCAGGAAACAAGAACAAATAATAGTCTAATAGCAATGAATGTATGTCAACATGAGTGCCTAGCAATATCACACAAAAGGTCACAACAGGCAGTCAAGGCACAAAAGCAATTGTGTTAATAATTGCTGACAGAACAACACCCTATTAAAAACTAAAGCGATTAAAGGTGGGGTAGGTAAGTTTGAGAAACCGGCTCGAGATACACTTTTTGTTATATTCCATGGAATGCTCTTAACATCCCGATAGCAATGAATATCTTCAGTGCTTTGACAAAAAATCCATAAAAAAATGTCATTTGTGGAAGCCGTAGTACTGTAAAAAGCACGACCAATCATTTTAGCCGGGCCGGCTAAAATAACTGGATGGCCTACCTGCCTGTCAGCCTTCCATCTGTGCACAAACTTATCTCGTGCCCTCATTGGTCATGTGCGCGTTCGTGTGTGTTGGAGGAGGGGCTCTGTAAGGAAGTGGCAGATTTGTTCCGGTTGTGTATTTTCAAATTCTAGCGCACTCGAGCTGGTTTCTCCAAAATTACCTACCCCACCTTTAACTGCTGTTAATTATAATGTTTTACTAAAACAGTACTATGTCCACAGCCAACAAATCCATGTTGTTGTCCAAATGTCTTATTTCTCACATTGTTCTAATGACCGTACAACTTTAACTGACATCACCAGTCAGTATTTCTCAGAATGAGTGTTCCTCCAACTTTAGAGTATTAAAGTGTTTCCAAAACCAAGAGAAACACTTCAAAGTGTATCTCTCCAGAGTCTGGCGAGTCAGACCCCTGGAATGTAAGACAAGCTACGCCCCTCTCATAGTAAATAGTCAGGATGACACTGGAGAGACACACAAGTGTATATACAACGTCCTTGTGAGTCAAAGCAACTCCAAATAATACATTAGCTAAATCAAATCTTTATAATGAGCTAATTCATAGACATCAGACCCTTCGTGGCATCCCATGCATGGAGACATGTCTAATCTTTTTACAGAAGCAGAAATCTGAAACCAATGAATCCTTAATAAAAGTCAGGTTTCATTTAACTGCCTCTATGACGGGTATCAGATATAGAGCGTTCACTGTTGATGTTGGGATATCGATACCAACTGATATTACATTACATTGCATTTAGCGGACGCTTTTATCCAAAGCGACTTACAATAAGTGAGTGATATCCCTAAACCCAGAAAGAAGAGTCACACTGAAATGAGTACTTATCTGGAAAACCCACACAAATTATACTTCTTTATATTTTGTAAAGGTGACCACAACCACACAACCTCCCAGAATGCAGGCTGTCGTTGACATTACCGATCATGACCGCAAGATAGCAGACCTCTGAATTATTGAAATAATCATCAGACTACAGCAGGTTAGGTTCCATCAGAGGGTATTATGCTTCTATGATTGAGAAAAAAACGACCAGCTTATTACGAGATAGCCTCTTGCAGCCAAATACATTTAGATCCTAGTTAACCTAAATGATACATACATATTGGTTTGAGAAAATTACAAATGAAGAGAAGAAATCAAATCAACAATTTTGTGAAAAATCTGTAGAGACATCTGGCATCAATTGGGAACTTTCTATTTTCGGACAGGCACAGAAAATCACTCTTTTATTTCACACACCTGTGACGGCGTCGTAGAACTCATCCTCATTGTTCATCTTCTAGAGTCAAAGCCGACTAGTCGATTAGGACAGACGTACGACTTCTAGAACATGTTCCTTTCCGTGGCGACCCCTCAGAGTTCCTCTGGAGGGACACCTGGCAATCAATGTCCCTCTGGCCTGTCAGCACGGCAACAGCACGATGTTCGCTCAATATCCAGGGGCTCAATTGGAGCAAATCTGCAGCTTGATTCAGAGACAACGACAGCTGACTTCTGAGTTCAGGTTAGGTTTCTTTGGTGTTGTCGAGAGAAGCAGGATCTGTAGAGACAGAAAAACAATATAGGTATTCAGTTTGGGTAAACAGAGAGTCGTTTCCTTCCATGAAACCAAAGACTAGTCTGACTAATAAGAGAAAAACATGTTTTTGCAGAAACCAAGTATGTCTATGAAGCAGCAATGTGAAAAATATATTGTCAAAGCTAAACTGGAATTGTTCATACAACTCTGTAATCGTCCTGCAGAACTAAGCCTGATGACAACCCACAGAGAATATTATTATGGATTGGTCCATGTCTGAGCAACAATACTGCGTTTCAGAGCTAGACAAATAATCTGCTTCTATCGAACTGAGGTTTGGTTCAATTGAAACGAAAGAAATTGCCCTCACAAGCCCCATTATCCTGAGTTATATTTGACTGTACTTTTTCAGATGAGGGTAAAGGGTCATTTTCATCTATCCAGGCTACAAGATCAAAAGCAGCTTAGTCAGGCTGAGAGTTTGGTCCATCATGGCCCACTGAGTGCAAACAGAGAGTTGTATGGACCAGTAGTTACATAATTGGGACATCACCGTCACAGGCATTCAGGGTCTTTGTTACATTGGCTCGGATCTACATTTTAAACTCAAGTTCATTTTCCAAACAGTTCCAAACAGCATAATCACACTTAACATGGAAATCAGGGAAGTAACATCCAGTCTAAAATGACTATTAAGCAAGAAATGCGAGAACAAGTTGTTTTAACAACAAGTTGATAACAGCTTGGACCAGCACTTTTTATTCTTCAATGTCTGCTTTTGACCTTTCTCTTTAGTAAAATCAGTAAAGGTGGAAACATATTCCAATTGAATCCCTCAACTCATTAAACAGGGTTTAGTGATGCTTCACTGGTCAGTAACCAAAATAGCTATTGGAAAGGAAATGCTCTACTGTGTTGGCAGCAGATAACATTGTTCTGCTTTATAAAAACTAATAATCAATATTGCTTACTCATTGTTTTGTATTTCTGTCCACTTAAGACCATCACAGTTTCATAGAAACAATCCATGATGAAGCCAATTCAACTGTTTGTTTCAATCACCCCTTTGACCCCCATGATGTCAGCAATGCAAGAAAACCATCATAATGACACCGATTAGCAAATATGACAAATGTTGACTTACACTTTGACCCATTATTAGTAGTAAGCTGTACACAGTCACACTGCAGGGGCCTCTTCTCACATTACAGTTAAATCATGTTGTGTTTGAACATGAATATCGCAAACGTGTCAAGCATCACAAGTTAGCACAGTTAGCAGTAAAGTTATGTTCCTCTTCCCCTAAAAAAGTAAATATAATATTGTTTAGGTATTGGTTGAAACTCAGGTATAATATTACAATATCAAAAAAAGGTTTAAACTGTAGCTTATCATGACATAACATTTCTCACACAATGGCAAATAAAAAGGGCATTGATGTTTCCCTACCAAACTAGGTTTCAACACTTATCGACGTGCAATAGTTGTTATATTAGGTCTGCTGAACAAGTTACAATAGTCTCCTTTCTCATTACAGCTTCTGCATTTCCAAAGTTAATGTTTACATTTTAGAGTATTGTGCTTTAAATATGTTTGCATGAATATGTTTGCAACCCTATAAAGATGATGACACGATGTCAAAGGGGAACTAGAGAATGTAACCAAGGAAACGTTTTAGTTTTAATGGAAATGTTACTGATTATTGTTGAGCGATGTTTCTTTCGTTATCTTCAGTTGTACTGTCTTTTGGTTCCTCCAACTCTAGTCAAGACCAATCATTAATATTGATCTGTACATTTCAGCTCTTGTTGGTTTCAAACTATAGGCAAGAAATGATACACAGCCATGGAAAAACTGTTCATTGAAAAACTGTAAATTGAAAAACTGTTAATTGTTCCTAATTTAGATAAGATCACTTGAAGGCCTTTTACACTTACTCTTCTACTTAAAATATCTTTATAATTAATAATCTATGCTGTTTCTGGATTCGTCAACAAACTCTTGACGTACCTGCGGTGAAATGAGGTAGTCATTTCTGAAGGTGAAACGCTGAATCTTGGGGAAAATAGTGCCTGTTCTCGTTTTTCCTTCTTCTTCCTTCGACTTTTCGACACAGTGGAAGGGTTTTCTACCGTTGCCTGTGACTCAGTAGGTTACGCCTTCAGCACACAAGTGAACTTTGGCCTCAGAATCCACAATGGTTAAGGTGGACAGCATGAATTACATGTTTGGTATAGCTGTTCGAACAGCTAATTTAACGTCCAAACTTTAATCTATGTGTTGTAATTGATTGGCTCCATTTAATCTAAAATGATGTTTTAAAATAAGACAAAACATTTACATAATAAAATGTGTTACTCCTATGGTCTCATAATCCCATAATGCAGGGCAGCGGGGTATTTTCAATCCAGATTGGTGGAAACAAGTCAATTGGAGTGTTTCAAATGTATCTCCCTAGTACGAGGATACAAAGCGACTTTCCCAATACTTCCTGCTTTGAAGTGGCCAGATTATGTACCAAAACATGACCAAGCCTACAATAGTGATAACCCTTATCGCACATACTTCATCAGAGCTTCAGTACTCGGTGTTCTTCCCATGAACTGCAAACATTACAAGAATATCCAGACAACCAGATGTCCATGCAACAATTATTCACCACTTATTAACAGGAAAAAAGTGCCTCATTTTCTGCTCCAAACATTATGCAGTTATTCTGTGGATAGTTTGACGTTAACAACGTTGTATCATATCAGGGTAAGGTATTTAAAAGACCCAAGAAGAGCAATCATATGTGTGGGAAGTCAATACTGGAAACCTTGAAAATCCTCTTAAGGTAAATGTAATCTGATAAATGTAAAAAAAATGTAAGAACATAGCATCTGACATGGCAAGTGCCTTCTTGTACTCTGCACTGCAGATAAAGCAAACATGGCTAAACATGTGATTTGCATGAGCTGAGTATACAATCGTATAGGTGATGAACTGTATCATCCATTCAACCCAAGAATAATGATGCTTTATTGAACCTTTCTTATCATTGTTGGAAAGCTAAAACAGGCAGGGTGAACATCTGTCCAGCTGCCTTTCTCCAGTTAAACTCCTCCCTGAGATGGGACTTGCAAAACAACACATTGAGCTAGGGCTACGGTGATCTGGGGCTGTAGTAAATAGTATCATTGCATCAAAATGCACAGAATTGACTTTCTTTGTCCTTGGTTGTAAAGCGCTACTTACTGACTACAATTCACAGATTACTTTAGACGGAATCGATCCAGCTGTAATTGTATGAAAGATATCTTAAACATTCATCTCATAACATACTGCTTCCAGTTATGAGCCAAAAACACACCTGGGAGTCACCACACAAATCTTATTTTCTATTAGGCAACAGGAAGCATCAGGTTGCAGACAATGTCCTACTGTAAGTCCCTGCAGTCAACAACACTGACTCAAACTCCAGACTCTTAGTTCACAACCTTCAGAAGCAGACAGAAAATGCCTCTTCATTATGCGGCCACACTTAAGAAAGCGTATGACAACCCTCAGGCTGAACTTGGCCTTTCTCAGATGTGTAAAAACCAACAAAAGAAACTGAATCTGAGAATCCGTACAGTATTGAGAACGTAGCTAGGCTAAGATCTTCACCTCAATTCATCTTATTTCTGTAGAGGAAACATTTCCTACAATTAAAACATTCAGATAGAATCAAAATCCATTTTGCACCAAAAAAAACTGCTGACTACAACCTGACCAAGTTAAGAAAGTTCATCTTTGCTGGTCTTACCCATTTTTACCAGAAATATCAAGTTCATATAAGACAGTGGATACAAAAAGAATGTTTTTTAAAGAGAATGATTTCCAAAAGTATTGTTGCTTAAAACTATGTTGCCCAATCACAATTGTAAACAGACTCTAAACTTCATTGGGTCTTAAAATGATCACACATGATCTTAGGGATCAGCCCATCAAATAAAAAAGAAAAGAAAGAAAACCACATGAAAGTAAGGAGGTTGGAAGACCCCCTGATTTAAAAATTCTAACGTCCAAATATTTAGAAGAAGTTTCCAATCATATTCAACAAAGACAGTGTTTACAATAATACTGTTAACTAGTTACTGGATGTCGAACTAATTGAATTACATAAAATCTACCAAATTCTACTGACCCCCTGGGCATCACCATTTCATGTTGCCCTTTCATGTGATACCAATGCTTGTTAATTTAGCAACCACACTGTTAACTTTTAAACAGGCAAACAACCTTACTGCCTTCATTCCAAGCCCTAAAGACAAACCTACCGATGTGACCGTTTCATTCATAAGTCGTCTGTAAAGTTATTAGCTTAGCAACGTCCGTCCTCCGAGGGCTGACAAAACATCCAAAGCTGTAGAGACAAAAAGAGAGGACCATAGACAGACTGGGAGACAGAGAAAGAAATGGAGACGAGAGCTGTTGCCAAGCGAAACAGAGCTCAGCGCTTAGCAATGATACAGCACACACACCTCTTTCTTTCTCTTCACGCACACCTACCTCAATAGGGGACACACCTCAGCACTGCAGACCGTGACACACACACACACACACACACACACACACACACACACACACACACACACACACACACACACACACACACACACACACACACACACACACACACACACACACACACACACACACACACACACACACACACACACACACACACACACACACACACACACACACACACACACACACACACCACACACACACACACACCACACACAACACACACACACACACACACACACACACACACACACACACACACACACACACACACACACACACACACACACACACACACACACACACACACACACACACAGACAGAGAGAGAGGAAATGTATCTATATGTTACATATACACATAGATATACAATATCAAGCCTTTAACGAAGCCACCAACAAATAACAAAACCTTTGACTAAATTCTGTTGTAATAAAATATTTTTTCAGAGGTGCTCTTAACTCACTAGACATTTGTTCTAATGCAGTTGTTTTGTGAAAGTGATTAAAATCTCCCATGTAGATGCTAAGATAGATACATTTCTTTCTTTTGCCTTTGTTTTTCAGTTCTTATCGTGGCCAGCAGCCTTTCAGAACTTTCCCGCACTACAACACTGTTGGAGTTTCGGTAAAAATTCTGTCAGGTTGTGTCCATGATTACAAAAAGGTCCAAGAAACCCAAACAACAAGGAAACAACCCCTAAAAAGGAAGGAAACCAAAAACGTTCATACTGTATCACAGCTATGTCGGTGTATGTCTTATTCTTTATGAGCTGCTTAAAACATCCTCTACTACTGTATATCATGATGCATCAATGCTCCCTTAGGAAGGTACAACTGAATCACAAGACCATTACCAAGAAAGAGTTCAAACGTCAATAACCACAAACAACTTTTTATTACTAGAGTACGACCGCAAGTATGTCATCGAAATCATTTGACCTCAATGACAAGAGTAACCTTGGAGTACATCCATTGACAGCAGAGTTCCCGTTAGAATTTTTTTTTGCCTGTCAAAATGTCGATCAGATCTAGCTAGTTCTAGCTAATGATATGACTACCTGCTTATTAAAAGACACCTAAACAATAAGCGTTGCTATGCAACCGGGTGAGGCCACAAAGTATAGCGCAGCATTATGCATTTGTTTACATGCCCACCGGAACCCAGAGGCATTACCAACAGATCAACGCACAATCAACCCATACAGGACATCTCTTTCTCCACATTAAGTGTTAGACATTAGAATTGACTATTCTTGTCTGTCACATAAGTGGCGCAATTGATGCGGTATTGCGCTAAGGTGAAATTATTTTGACCGGACATTTTGACCGGAGAGATTTAGATTTACCGGTCTTCAGCATATTTTACCGGTCATAGTCCGGTAATTACCGGCTAACAGGAACTCTGACTGACAGGGGCACATTTGAAGTGCTAACGTCAACACGATGTGTCCCGGGCTGCAGAGGGAGGACTTGCATCGCTGGCTACATTAACGGCTGCTCAGCAGAATGGAAAACATACAGCAGCATTAATATACTGTACCCAATCAGCTTAAAGCACACACTGGTGCAGCTGGGAACATGAAATTAGAAAGTGTGAGGAGGCTACAAAACTAATAAGAAGCAGGCTGCATTTCTTAACACAAGTTGAAGATTGTTAAGTGGGAAGAAAATCTCTTTTTTTCTGCCCCTATCCTATCATTCCCCCCCCTTACATCTCTTGATACATAAAGATACATGTCCCCTAAAGACAGTAAGAGAGGGGCTGGAGCCTTTGATGATCAGCCCAATAAGTCATTTGTTTTTACATTTAGATGGATTTGGGTATTAATGCAACCAGAACTGCTGAAGAAATAAAAAGGAAATACAAAGTAGAAAGAAAAGTAATGACTTCAAGGATTTAAGTACTGTGCCATGAAAACAAAAGACATATTTATGGCCTATAAAGATAAGAAAAATAAACATTAGCCAGAAAATACATAATTAAGATAAATGCCATAAAGGCACTAAGATAATAAGAATAGTCCACAGGTATCCCCTAAAACAAAGTTAATCATTGACACTTTCACTAAATATTAACACAATTATATTTTTGGTAAATCATCAACAGTGATGTGGAACTATTGACTCATATTGCAGCTGTTAAACCAAGAAAAGACAACTTATGCAATACAACAATCTTACCAAATCCAGAATTAGAGACCATATCGAGTGTCATATCACAATATCATGTTCAATATATTGCTCAGCCCTAAGTCAGGTCCAAATAACATCTAGAACATTTAAGTAATAGCTCAAGATTCAAGCCTAAAGTATGTTTGTAAGGGTATCTCCATTACCTCTGTTTTACTGGAGAACTAGCAGTAATCCCTGTGCAGAGATACTTAGTGTCTCTGCTTCAGACTGAGGTGAAGAGTTTGACCTCTTCATGTTCCTCCTGCTCGATCACAGTGTAATCCCTCTAGGAACAAAACACTGTCTCGTTCGGAGCAGGATGCTGAGCACACAGTCTCTCACACACACACAGAAATGCAGAAATGTGAGTCAGCGCAGTAAAACCTGCTAGGATGAGTCTTACTTTCACACAGGTTTAAAGATAGAAAGCCTGCTCAGCATCAAACAAAGCGACACTCCTCCTGACTGAATGAATTTAACGCAAGTTGTGATCAACATT